AAAAAAAAATAGTATTTTGCTTTTTTGTTTTCAGATAGTTGAAGGTTGGGTTTAAATAAATTTTTTCACTACAAAAATTCTTTACAGGTATGGTAATTAATATTTCTTTTCAAAATTCAATCAGTACATATAATATTTTCTGTATTTTACAAAAAAACGTAATTTTTGAAGGTTGAGGTTTAAATATTTTTTCTACTACAAAAATGTTTCAAAGATATGGGAAGTATTTTTTTTTTTAGAATCTAATCAGTACGAAATATATTTTAAGCTTCTTGTACTAAAATTTTTTCCAAAAAATAAAAATGTTTGTTTGCTTTCAAAAAGTTTAATGTTGAAAATTAAAAAAGTTGTAAAAATGGGAATTAGCTAAATCCAATTAGTAAAAAATATATTTGACGTTTTTTGCATTACAAAATTTTTCGAAAGAATAAAAATATTTTTTCTTTGTTTTCAATTGAAATTTATAAAGAATTTTTTCACTTCAGAAATACTTCACAGGTATAGAAATTAATTTTTTTTTTCAAAATTCAATCAATACCTATCTATTATACGTTTCTTGCACTAAACATTTTTGCAAAAAATAAAATTTTTTTTTCACCTCAAAAAGTTCAAGATTGAGGTTTAAATAATTTTTTTTCACTGAAAAAATGTTTTCTTTGTGAAATCCATTCAGTACATATGTAATATATTTAAAGTTTTTTGCACTTAAAAATTTTCCAAAAAAAAAAACTTTTTTTTTTGTCTTCAAATAGCATAAGGTCGAGGTTTAACAATTTCTTTCACTACAAAAATGTTTCATAGGTATAGAAATAAATTTTTTTTATTAAAATTCAATCAATACATAATATATTTTAAATTTTTTGCACAAAATTTTTTTCAAAGCACAAAAGAAGTTCACAAATTTTTTTTAATGTTTAAAATATTTTTTATATATTTTATTTTTTATGCTCTTGGAACCAGTTGCTACAGAGTATTATAGTTTTGTTTTAATTTACATTTTTCAACCGAAAAGTATCCTCTTAACTTTCAAACAATGCACTAATGTAGATAGAATAGTTTTTGTCACTCTAAAAACTTGCACAAAACGCATACATACATATGTCTACAAATTTATTGTTCTTTCTAAAGTGTTTACACAAGATGTAACTTACTTTTTTCTAAATTTTTTTAAATTTAAATTTAATTAAATAAATTTTTTTATTTTTTTATTGCAACAGCTTAATTTAATTTTTTTTTTAATTTTTTTGTAAAAATTTAGTTAATCCTTTAAATATTTAAAAAAAATCATATCATATATTTTTTGTAATAAATCAGCGTTCCCTCTTTTTTATTGTTTTAGTACACAAAACACTTCATTTCATTGATGTTGTTGGTAGATAGGTACCTTTATTATTTATATTCCTTTTAAATGCGATTAAGACTTCTAACGACCGTTTGTAACGCGCTTCCACCGTATTACTAAGTTTGCGAGTCCCACAGGTTTGCGCTTTTATTCTGTGCCGGCAAAATCACAATAATTTTAATATATGTACATACACACGTTCTAAGATAGTGTTAAATACTTATAAGGTGGTATGTAAAAATTATAGGTGTATGTACGAGTATGTGTTATCAAATGTGCAAGCAAAACAAAATAGACACACATATACAAACATACGGGTGCATAGGGCATACATATATACACATTTTCATAGCACATGTATATATATACACACATAGATTATTTATTTATTGAGATGTGAATACTTATTAATTAGCGTTTTGCTGCAAATACGCGACTGCGGTTCTAATTTCACTTGCGCGCAATTGTGCATCGTAAAAACATTCTCCCGTAATGACTACAACGCTACGCGCCTATAAGTGTGCATGGTTGTGWGTGTCGGTGCGAGATGTTAAACAAAAAATTTACATATACGCTACTTAAACACTTCAACTATCAATCAAATTGTCATAGATGTAATAAGAATTTATTAGCACTGCATATATATACACATATGTATATAAAACAAAGCAATCAAACAAGATGTAATTTACGGTTAACTATTAATAAAAGATTTTACAATCCTACCGGCTTAGTGTTATTATATAAACAAATGTATGCATGTAAACATAGAGTAAATCAAGGTCGTCAGCTAGTCGCGTCTTTCAAAGCGATAATGCCAAAACGTCTTGGTGATATTACTGCATCGAACACTGCCACCAAATAGCTCTCTGCATAACCCAACTCTTTCAAGTACAACAAACGATCCAGCAATATGAGGCTTTCTATCACCTGTGCAAAACACATACGCAACAAATAGTATAAATGCATGTAGTGCGCATCAGCCGCATATTCTTTTTGTATACTATCCAACACAGTTGCTTCGCAGTGTAAGTTATAATTTTGTGACGCGAACTTTTTACAACAAAGCGTCACATACTCGTTAAAATTCGTAAATTTACGCACTTTGCCGACTTGCAATTTCTGACGCATTTCCTTGGCGCKATTGCAAATCAAGACTTCGAGTAGCGCACGATAGTAGAGTGTAATGTTCATGRCGCTGCGTTCGCTGGTGACGCGTTCGAACGATTGTGTGGCCAACATGCGTGCATTGCGGCCGAGCGTTAAACGTTTGTTGCGCAAAAACTGACTCAATGGGAAACCCGRTGTTGTTTGACGTCCGCTAATTGTTGCATTTTCAAAATATTCCGGTAAAGCGTATTCTTCTTGCAGCAGGTGGTAGCAGCAGCCTATGTTACAAATCAGTTTGCACTGTGGTTGTTCGTGGAAGAGACGCAAACAGGTGGTGGCTAAATTGCCGCAGGTGTGCAGGCCGGTTAAACAGATGGCGCATGTATCGGTGGCTTGCGGAAATTGTTGTTGCAAGAGTTCTATTAYATTTAAGTCGGGTGTGATAAATGCAGCTGTGGTTTTATAGCGCAACTCTTTTTCGTTCACAGTTGAAATTTTTTGAGGTGTTGGTGTAGCTGTTTTTTGCACATTTTTGCCGCGTCGTTTAGGCGTTATGCCTTGTTGTTGTAATTCTGCGCGCTTCACTAAGCCATCCCAAACGCGCTGTTATGAAAATTAAAACAAAAATTTAAAACCACTTGCTTTTGTAACCAAAAAAATACCATACCTCCAACTTGCGGTTCCGTTCCAAAGCATTTTCGGTGTTCAATTCTTGAAAATCAATACCCAGCACGCGATGCTTATACTGTAAAGCAAGACGTGATGATAAGTAGCCCTTGCCATCGCCCGCATCGACAATGAACACTTCGGCGTTGCTAGTGCTGTTTGATACACTGTGTATYAAGCGATCGACTAGCGCGGCTGTTATCTCTACCTTTCAGAGAAAAATACAAATGTATATTTGTTGTTACAAATTTGTTAAGTCAACCAACCTCATGTCGTTTCTTCTCACTCATAAACTCTTTAATTGTCAAATTTTCCGTGTCATGTTCTACCAGACCCAATGCTTTGTTTAACTGTGCCATCGGTGTCAGTATATCAACAGTTTTATCTAAATAATATTTTCCACAATTCGCCACAAACTGCTTTACTCTATTAAATTTATTATCTTTATCATTATTTTGCCAAAATACTGTTTCAATGCAGTTTTGTACGCTTTCCACATCTGGTACTTCATGCCTTATCTCAGCGGGCACATAAGTCTGCCAATGTTTGTCTGTCAAATAGCTAACCATATGACAGTTGACAAACTCCCAATGTGGCTGCATGAAGTGTAAAATCTCCTCCAAGCATGCGCGTATTTGACTGCTACTCATTTCTTCGGCTGGGATTTAGAATAGCATCCCCGGATTTCGAGGATAAAATGGGTATCACTGGAAAGGTGACGTTCTCCAGATCACGAAAATATATATATATATAGTTGCCGCTGACTTAYAGTTTTAAAGATATTTGAGTTTAAAGTTAAAAAATTTACAACTTTTAAATTGATAATTTGTTTRTTGTGAATAACTTTTTCACTTATATTATGYACTTTTCACTTACTAACACTTCACTATAACGTTTTTGTATATAAATTTTTTTAATATTTATTGCAAATCMAGCTTTATTTCAATTATTTYGTTTTAGTTAAATTCACTGYAWTTGCACTGCAAGAATAGGGTTGCATACTAGCAAATAAATGGTATTGCCATATCTGCCTAGTTGTCAACAAAAGAACAATAGCAAAAACTTTATACCCCAAATA